AGAAATGATGAACCGACATAAATTTAGTAGATCTATTTTATTTCTTTTTCTCATGAATTTTCACAGGCCCGTAATAGATTTTATTGTGTAAATTCACTCAAAGAACTCTTTAATTCAATTCCATAAAAAATATCATAGATTATTTGAAAGAGATAAACTTGTATTCTTGGATCTAATTGGCTCATTTCTATTGTCATTTACAAAGTTTTACATAACATTTTAAGCCTATTATAGCATTCGACACGATATGGCCAGTTATGTGTTGACGACCCGTAAAAATCCAAACAAACAAAACTTTTCTCACATATCAAACATATGTAAAGGTTCTTTACATTTTAATTTTAATGCGGATGAAAAAAACATCATAACTTAAACAGCGAAAGGAATAATCTCCGTAATGTGTAATTTTGCACATGAAAACATAAATAAATATATGCATACATCATGCTGAAAATTCAACAAAATTGAAACTAGTTACAAAATTATATTTCGAAAAGTAAATTGTGACGTATTAATAACATCATGAAGATAAGTGCATTACGTCAGCTGCAAAAATCGGTACCACAAAAAGGGATGTAATATATAGAAATGTTGTTTGTTTATCATTTTATATAAACATATATTTCACTCGCGAACACCAGTTGTTATAATTTTACTCGTTATATTTTAATTTATAATACAGCGAACATCCTTTGTTTAAAACAAAATGAAAATTTATCCATATCAATTAACACAGCCATGTATATATTTAGTAATACAGATTTTTGACAGGTTATATGGCCGTATATAAACGATAACCCGAGCCGCCAAGTGAGAGTTATATAGCAAACAAAATTATATCGGCCATATATCCTGTTAAAATCTTTATAACGAATTTACAATACTGCAGAAAAATGAGAGATTTCTTGATAAATTGACAGCAGCTGTGTATATAAACTATATAAACGCCAATTAAAATTGACGTACCAAGCTTGCAGTAACAAACGTGCAGTATTATAAAAGATTTTATAATACTGCACGTTTGTCACGTCACTTTTCATTGGAGAATCGTGACATTTTTATAGTTTTATATACACTGTTTCTGGCAATTTTCTAAGAAATCTCACTTTTTTTTCTCAAAAAAAAGGGAAGTTCGCGGTTTTATAAATTCGTTATAAATATTCCTGACATGTTAAATGGTTGTAGGCAATATAACCATCGCCTAGCGGCTCGGGTTATATTTCCAAACAGTCGTTTATGTAGGGCAATATTACCTGCCAAAAAACTATAACTAATAAATTAAATATAAACGTCATGATGATCCAATGAAAATCGACTTTACATATTTAATATATATTTATGCTTATGAAGTAATTGTTTTGCTCATGGCGTCATTGTTAGGCGCATGACGTCTTTGCAGCTGTGTAGCAAGTGGGATTTTAGAAAGAGTTGCTGTACATATGTTTGTCTAAAGGGTAAAATTTCATTATGTTTCGTGAAAATATAGTTCATATTTCACTCAAACGGAAAGCAACAATGAAAGCAACATTTTCAAATTTGAATATTGACAGTACTCATCAGGCACTCGACGTTGTTTCAGCGTTGAAACAACGTTGAAAAATGGTCGTGACGTTGTTCAACCAATATTCAACTATGGACGACCATACGGATATATTGCCAATGTATATACGACGTTGATTCAACGTTGTTTATGGTCGAAGTTTTACATTTAGTTTAATCATTATATAAACCTTTATACCACTAATTTTGTGTTATTAGAAGAAGCTCCGCCATTATATTGGCTTTAACTATGTAAAGAGTTTAAAATATCTGACTTCACTGGCAGCCTCTGCTGCTAAATCTTCAGTCTCTGCGGTTCTATATACAGTCGTTTTCTTTTGCAGTTTCTATGTTAAGTTCCCGCCCCGCCCCTCAATTAGAAATCACGCCTGTTTCATTGGAACTTTCAACAAAGGCAGTTCCAATGACTGTTCTCTTTTTTTTTTACAGGAACCGTTTTCGTAGGTTTACCACTATCACAATTGCTATTATCAAGGCAATCGGGATTTTCATCGCAAAACAAGTCTATATTGCTAGACGACACTTGTCCGGACTACTCCTCATAAACTACTGGTGCAATAACTTTACAGAAATGATCAGTACCAAGTCTAGTTGTGCATATTGTCAGCATTTTCCGGTTCAATGATTTTTGTCAGAGTTATGGCCCTTTAATAATTTTTAATTTTAAAGTTTGTCCGCACTACTTCTCTTATACCACTAATGCAATTTCAATGAAACTTTACAGGATTGATCTGTAGCTCAAGTCATTGCGCATATTGCACGGGTTTTCCGGTTGAATGATTTTTGGCCGAGTTATGGCCCTTTGATAAAAAGGTGTTTTTTTCTGTGTGTTGCCAGATACACAAAAGCTTGTCCGGAGTACTCCTCATAAACTACTGGTGCAATTTCATCCAAACTTTACAGGAATGATCAGTACCAAGTCTAGTTGTGCATATTGTCAGCATTTTCCGGTTCAATGATTTTTGTCAGAGTTATGGCCCTTTAATAATTTTTATTTTTAAAGTTTGTCCGGACTACTTCTCTTATACCACTAATGCAATTTCAATGAAACTTTACAGGATTGATCTGTAGCTCAAGTCCTTGCGCATATTGCACGGGTTTTCTGGTTGAATGATTTTTGGCCGAGTTATGGCCCTTTGATAAAAAGGTGTTTTTTCTGTGTGTTGCCAGATACACAAAAGCTTGTCCGGACTACTCCTCATAAACTACTGGTGCAATTTCATCCAAACTTTACAGGAATGATCAGTACCAAGTCTAGTTGTGCATATTGTCAGCATTTTCCGGTTCAATGATTTTTGTCAGAGTTATGGCCCTTTAATAATTTTTATTTTAAAAGTTTGTCCGGACTACTTCTCTTATACCACTAATGCAATTTCAATGAAACTTTACAGGATTGATCTGTAGCTCAAGTCCTTGCGCATATTGCACGGGTTTTCCGGTTGAATGATTTTTGGCCGAGTTATGGCCCTTTGATAAAAAGGTGTTTTTTTTCTGTGTGTTGCCAGATACGCAAAAGCTTGTCCGGACTACTCCTCATAAACTATTTATGCAATTTTATCCAAACTTTACAGGAATGATCAGTACCAAGTCTAGTTGTGCACTGTACGTCTGTCTGTCCGTCTGTCACAAAATTTGTCTCAACATGAAATTGGCCATCATGAGGCGACACATGTGATCACTGATTGCTCTTGTATGGTAAAGGAAGACCTTATGTGTCCGTTCATGCATTATCATTGGTGCAAGCAGGCACCTGAGTTGAGCCACCGACCGACCATAAGGTATCTAGATAGCTACATCAAAGTCCATGTCGGGATTCGAACCGTGAGGGGAAAGCGATTTGATGCCGGCGATCACTCGGCCACTAATGAAAAATCATAATTGTGAACAATGGCAGATGATCACCGAAAATATTTTTCATAGAATAGGTCTTATTATAATTAATGTCCAAAGCAATACTTAAAAAGAAAAAGTTTTCTACAAAGCATTCTTGAAAACTGAAAATAGAAATGGATTCATCTGCGGCACATGTCTACTATATTATTCATGTTACTGAACTTATCCAGTTGGTTTTGATTTTGTGGTTGTTTTAAAAAGAAAATCGAAAACAAGCAACAATCAGCAAGACGGAAGTTAAACACAATAGTTCACATTGAGATTATGTCTATTTTTGTAATGCACGCGCATAAAGAAATGTGTGATATGCCTTTGAAATGCTTTTATTTTTAATTCTTAAAAGCTTTATATTTTTGTAGTCCGATTATAGTTTTACTAATTAGCCAAATACTAGAACCATCTCTTGCTACTTTAGTCTTTTAGCAATAAGTAAAGATATATAAAATAGAATTTTGTATAGAAGTCAAAATACTATTTTGTTTGTTTTTATTACAAATAATTTTTATATTCAGCACTTGCTTCTTCAGATGATAAGCATGTAACATGCTCTAAAACCATTATTCAAACATATAAAAGCTCATGTCTGCACTTTCTTAAAGGCACATAATGTTTCTGAGGCATAATGTGCCCAAATGTGTAGCTGATTACGAGGTATGGTCAGAAAGTTCGTGGACCGTTACTGTCTTTTTACTCGGCTTGGTTGATATAAATCGGAAGGGCAATTTATTCTGAAAGTAAGTTTTACTTTTAGCAAATACGAACCATGTGCTCTTTCATATAGATATAGGTTTTTCATTTGTAGAAATATTTCCATTTGTCCAATGCTTATAATAAATGGAAATTATTTGACGCTTCACTGGAAGGGCGAAACTATAATGTTTTTAAAACTTGTTGTTCTACTCTTTTTATAATCATGTACAGCATCCATCATAAAACTGTAAACTGTTTGTTATTAAACAACAACAACAACAACAAACAAACAAACAAACAAATAGAAAAAAAAATAAACATGGTCAAACTTAACTGAATTGCAAAAATGATTTTGAGTTTCCGGTATTTATTTTATTATGTTATTTTTTTAAATATCCCCTCTGAGCCTCTATTAATAGCCAATCTCGGCTACATGTAGCTTTTATTGTTGAAAACAAAGTTTGATATCTGTAAATAAACAATAATATTAAGCACGTGACTTCCTGGTTTGAGTTATTTTTGATATGCATTAATCACGACAAGATATTTGAGCCGCGTCACGACAAAACCAACATTATGGGTTTGCGACCAGCACGGATCCAGACCAGCCTGCGCATCCACGCAGTCTGATCAGGATCCATGCTGTTCGCTTACAGAATCTATTACAAGTAGAGAAACTGATAGCGAACAGCATGGATCCTGATCAGATTGCGTGGATGCGCAGGTGGGTCTGGATCCATGCTTGTCGCAAACCCATTATGTTGGTTTTGTCGTGACGCGGCTCATTTCGTTTTCGATTCAATAACTGTCTACTTTCACATTTAGATAGCAGTTAATTATAAAGTTATAATAGTTATTACGTACTTTACAGGGATCGAGTAGTGTGTTCTTGTCATTTTATGTAATACATGTAGAAACATATAATATTTGTAAAGGATTTATTAGATTTTAATTCAAAGGTAATTAGAAGACTCATGTAAGGTTTTATTAATCATGTAGAAAAAAGTCATCTTGGTCGAACGCTTATTAATCATGTAGAAAAAAGTCATCTTGGTCGCGTTCGCATTAAACATATACGGATATATGAAATGATGTTTTACACTTCTTTGCACATCTAATTTGAAAAGTTTAATTTTAGAACATTTTCATACTTGTGTACTCGTAAAGTTTATGAAAAAGATACAAAATAAATCTTTCGTTTTCTTTTGCATATTGTATAAAAATTATAATTTGTTTTTGTTTTATTTTTCAGGAAAATGGCAGTCTCCGGTCGAGCAACATCCGTGTATATCTTTGCCATCACATCTATGGCTACTGTAGTTATAATTCTGGTTCATTTATTCTTATCCGTGCACAAGGTCTCTTTTGATCTCTTGTACATTTGGGAAGCAGTGATTTTATTCTCAGCAATTCTAGGACTTGTATATCTTACATGCACAAGAGGAAGGCTGTTTCATCTTGATGCTGTACAGCAGAATGAACGTACGGTATGCGACAAGGTAGAAATATCCCGCTGTATAATTATTATCGTGTGCGCAGCCGGAAGTGGAATTTTGCCGTTTTATCAGGTATATCGTGATGTTCAGTGCATGGTGTCTACTCCGACAACGCTTTATGTATCAAAATTCTTTTCATTGGTGTTGTTAGGTGTCTTCTTTTTTCTTGAATTCATCTTTCTTATACCGTTAAAGAACTACAGATCCAAAAGTTGTTTTGCCCGAATTCTTGTATCAATTGTTATGTCAGCTAATGCATGTATGCTGGTAAATTTCATACTAAATATAATACGGACTTCAAATACGTATGTCGAACCAGAGGACGATACAAACATGGACCTGATTAGGAACTGGGTATTTTCACGCTGCGAAAACAAAACGGAGTTGCTTGACAACGTCACTTCCGTTGCTGAGCATATGTTCAAATACACAAATCCGTTCTTACTAGAGCTTAGTTTTCTGGCGTTCGGTATTCTTGTTCCTCTGTGGAATATTCCAGACCAGGTTAATGTCGACAGAATTATTAACCGAACTGAGAGCAATGATTTTGCACCAGAGGGAGAAAATACAGATGATAACGATGCCGACGTCACCGAAGAAGACGTAAACTTAATCGGACAAAATGAACAATGTAGGTTGAAAATTGTAAGAACACTGAAAAAGATCTTAATGTTTGTATCTCGCTATGCGTTGGTATTCAGTTTAATTATTGTTCTAACAGTGTTTGGATTTCATATCAATTCTGAAGTTGCCAAAATGAAAAGTGAACATTCTGATGTTGTTATTGAAAGTCATGGATCAAATCAAACCTTAACTTCTTTGGAGAAGGTCAACTATTATCTTCAGACTTTTTATAACTACATTGTGAGTATTGTACCTTTTATAGGTTATTTTACTGCAAGAGACATACACATTCCTCGAGTGAAGCAAAGTCCAGATACAATTCTTCTAATTGTTAGCGGTGGTGGACATTTGCTTTTGGTACTGTTAGAGACGGCAGATAGCATTGCAGGGTTTGTATCGCAAACTGACCAGAGCCATCTTACTGAAGAAATTTTCTTCTTTGTGAAAATTTTATTCCATTACGTGGGTATTTATTATCAAATAACTTTAATAATTAAAGCTCGTTATCTGCATACTGCACGTGCAAGCCCTCGTTTACAAGTGATCAAAGGAATGATGATTTTCCTATGTTTGTGTAATACAGAACGCTGGCTAGTGGACAGTTTTTTGCCTCCAACGAATTTAAGATTTATAAACGACATACAAAAGGAAGACACATTTGGTGTAAAAAACTGGTGGTTTATAACGGAAATTTTGTTCCCGATCGTGACCTTCAACAGACTTATTTCCGCTTTGTTATGTTTTGAAGTGGTAGAAAATATGAGAAGAAATGGCATCTAAGATCTGTAATCGTCGTAAACGTATTCATATAAGATTTGGAGATAATTGTATTTTTGAAATTAATTCCTGAATTTAGGAAAAATGGTATCAGTTTAATTTCTAAGAACGCCAGTGACCTAAAATAACTACCATAAGGCACATCAAGCCCCCAACAATCTTGTTTTTATAAAAGCTTATTTTAAAACTAATTTTCTCGAAGGAAAAATTGGGTTATTACATTGGGGGTATGACGGCGAACGAGCAGGCAATTTCTTCTGTGCACAATTTCTACATTTGTCAGGGGTTTTGACCAAGGTTTTTTTTACAGAAGCTTTTCATCAAGTGCCCTGGCGCATATTGTAGGCGTTTTGCGGTTCAGACATTATTGGCTAAATTACGACCCTTTCTTAAAAGAAAAAAATCCATCAGAGAACTTCACTTCTATGCGCAACTTCTCCGTTATTTTTCAAGAGATTTTCACTAAACTTTTACAGAAGCATCATCGTCAAGAGCCTTCGCGTATATTGTTGTTGTTTTTGGCAGAATTATGACATTTGTTGTTTTACATATTATATAATATATAGAGAATTACACTTCTGTGTACACCTTTTTCTTGATTTAAGAACTACTAGCTAGAAATGTTATTCATATCTTTTTTAAATATCATATAATATTTCATATAATATCACTGTAAATTGCACTGAAATTCCAAAGAAAACTGACCAATATTTTGACAGAATATTTTGCTTTTGTCAGCATAGAATTTGGAGTTACGGTCAAAGATGTGTTAAAGGGAGACACAGGCAAAATTTTCATTTCTTAGTTTTGAAATTTTCATTCATTATTCTGTAAATGTCCTCAAAATGAATACACTAAACAGTCAAAGGAACAAAACTTTTCTCCATATAAAGAATAAAATGGTGTTTTCCTAACTTGACCCGCGTGGGTCAGGTTAGAGCGCTAAAATTTCACAATAGTTGTCACTCTGTACTCTGGAAACGTTAAAAAACATGTCAAATCAATTACTTAGACTTGTTTCAATCATACAATATCCACAATATTTGTTATTGTAACTTCCAGGGTTTGTTCAAATCGCATGACTTGTTTTTAAACTATTCGGTGATTCTGTTCGCGTCAAAATTTCGTTCAACATATATAGATATATTTAAACTTCAAACCCAAAATATATAGAATTTATACAGAAATTCATGTTGGGACTTTAAGAAATGTCATTTTAGGGTGATTTGAGTACAGAAAATCATTTTTATATTTTTGCCATTATTTTGCCTGAGTATCCCTTTAAAGGAGTAAATCACAGTCACTGATAGCTCCGGTCTAATTCATGTTATGTAAATAAATGATACATGTATATAGTAAATAATAAACAAAAGAATATACAAGGCAAACAAAATGACCAAGCACATAATATGCTACTTTTATCTCATGAAGTGTACATATATTGGAAATAAAATAGATTTGTTTTCAAATTTGTTGTTTGTAATGATATGCATCCAATGAGTTACAATAAGCATTTTAAATCTGTAGAAACATATAAAAAATACAAATTGATATTCATCTCTATATTATTAAAAAGGTCACCAGCCCCCCAAATATATTCGAGATGCAATATGCACAAGGATACTTTTGCATTTGATTCGATATCACAAAATAGGATTTCTTCTTTGCAAAACAGCAATATTTTACATGATGGTTATGTACCATTCAATTCTAGCAAAATACAATCAATTATAGTTTTATACAACAATGAAAATAAAATAAGGATCATTTGATCCTGATCAAGATCTTAGATTAGCGAAGAGGGGGCCTGCTTTCGTGCCATTGTGTCCTTTAATTGTAAGTGCACTGTTGTAGATTAAAAATGTAGAAATTAAGTAGCAATATAGTTGGCTTGTTTTGGTTTACGACCATTACTTAAGATATTATTATTTGATATTTTGTTTGGAAGTTAAAATACCAGTTTGTTTACATTTTGCTAATTTTATGGGAAATTATTTCACATTCAGTGCAATTTTCTTCTCATGTCAAGCTTCTAACATGCTCTAAATCGAAAAGTTAAACACCATAACACATACTATTGCCTTTTCTTGAGAGGAAAAATTGTAGTTATTTCTTATGCTTAATGTGCCTATATCAAAATTGAACAAATGAATTTTACATTGGCATTTTAATCTGGTAGAAAATTATAAATACATGTATACTATATATCTTCATGGCTTCAAGGCAACCAGTCCTCAACAAAACCTAGACAAATTTCAGTGTAAAAGTATTAAGTATATTTATAGTACACAAATATTGCTTTTACGTGAATACTACAAACATAAAAATTCACCTTTTTGTGTATCAAGCATAATGACATTTCATTTGGAGTCTAACCCGAAACGAAATGCAAAGACATAGCAAAAAAGAAGTGACTTCGCATGTACAAATAGACAAATAATAGACTAAGAGTTAATTATAGACTATGTGTAAATATGTTTTTAAATTGTACACATTTTCGAACAATGTATAAACAAAATATAAAATATGTGTTCATTTTAAGGATAGGAAAACTTTGACTTGTTTAGGATTTTTTTTTTAATGTTCTTCACCTATATTTACAGCAGAGAATGTGAATACGATCTTTTAGCTTGAATTACAAGTGCTCAGATTCTATTAAACCAGGAAAGTCTGATATACAAGTAATGAATTTAGCAATGTTTAGCATAAGCTATTCTTTGTACATGCATATTAAATATTGAATGTGTGTGATAATTTGGCTATGTAAATATAATTGTAATAATTGTTATAATGAATGCAAGGTTATATGTTAGACATCGTATAAAACGGATGTTATATTTTTCTTTGTTGCTTAATTTTTTTCCTTCCAAATTTATTGTCAAAAAGTTTAACGAAAATTGTGTTGGACTTTGACAAAATGTTGATCAGAAACCGAACATGCAAACTCATGAATTAATTTCAATTTCAATTTATTTACAAAATGCAAATGATTAAGAACAACCATGGTCTCGTGAAACAAAGCTGAAAAATCATCAAGGGATTGACAAATTTGTAGTTATTTTATGATACTTTTTATCCTACCAATGCGAATGTTTCTGATAAACAATGGGAATATTCAAAGGCTATAACGCCGTCATTGTTAGACGGGAGTAAGTGTGTATTCTATGACCTTTTTACACACATTTACAAAGTATAAAGTGCATGTAAAATTGGACTGGTAGACATTTATTTCCGCCGAGAAAAAAAGTTACAGGAACTGTTTGTTATGTCATTGAATGATTTTAAGGTGGTTAAAATTGTATTGAAGATTTTTTTTAATATTTTACCTAGATATTGTCTTTTCTGGTCTTTCCTGATAATATTTAGACCTCCATTATTTTGTATTTTAATTAGAAATTGAACTGAAATTACTTATTCCATATCGTCCCTGAAATTTAATCTTTCAATCACCAAAACAGATTTATAACCTGTAGACTATTATTTTACCTTTTTACGCCAACCCTGTAATGACAATGTTCCGCGTGATTCATTTTAATATTTAACGATATTTATTTTGAAGATAGCACGGGGGTGGAACCTCATATGTATCTCAATAATGAGCATCTGTAAAAAGTATATGTGAATTTCCGCTGCACCAGATATGAAGCATAACACCAGATGTGAATGTAAAAACAGGTCAATCGCAGTGTATGTTCTCATCTTTTTAAACATTTATTTAAAATTCAATCCTTTTTTTTTAAGAAAATCGAAATGTGATTCTACCCTCCTGACTCTCCATTGTATTACCAAGTTTTGTTTTGGATTTCTATGCAGTCTTCATCGAGATATTCTTTCCGTCGTGGGTTCTGGTGTGTCCAAAACATGCAATGTGAATAAAGAAAATGTCACTTAACGAACTCAAAAAACAGAGATTTTACGAAATCTCACTACAAACCGATGCTTAACATTCACACAAATCCTGATTTAAACATTTATTGAGATTTGGCTACAAGCGAAGGAATCCTGCTCAAAATTGCATTTGAGCTCCATATGTGCTGAAGAGATCCATAAGTGATGTAGAAAACCATCTACAAAACTACGGGCCATGCACTTCCATATAATCATTAGATAGCCAATGTATAGAAATAATTTAGGTTTCGTAGCTTTAGCTAAAAGTTCAGTTGTAACATTTGTGTGTTTGATCACCACAATGACAGGGCTCACTAGCTTATGCTAGCATAAGGAAGTACTAAAAGGCCCGAGTACATGAAAATGCTGACGCAGAGCGGATAGTACTTGTATGATACATAATTCACTAATAAAGGATATGTAACTTGTACCAACGAAAATGAAAGTATTGAACTTTGTAAAGCTTTCGAGTCATATAATATGTTTCTATAATAATGTTTACATTCATAAAATATCTATCACTTTAATATTCCACAAAGTACAGTTATAGCGGCAGACTGTTATGTGGAAATATCATGACCTGGTGCGATATCGAAGGCTTTTCTTTATGGGCCGAGAACATTGTCTGTAAGGAAAACCCGAGATACCGCCCCAGGTCATGATATTTCTACGTAATAGTCGAGTTCGATATATTATAACTGTTTTATCGCATGATAAACAGAAATAAATATTAAAATAAACATAAAATTTCAATTTATAATTGGCTTCTCTTCATAAATTTAATTCTCAACTCGGAACCTCGGTTACTTTTCATGTAACGTGTCAATGACCGATATTGTAAACCCCACACACACCATATGAGCCAATCAGAAGGATGTTGGTTGTTCCTGATTGGTTGGATGACTAAAGACACAGAAAAAACATTGCTGTAAATGATTGGGACGCGCTAGTATTACGCTAACAGCCGTTTCATCAGCATTTTTGATGTCATGCTAAAAGATGGATTTTTTCAATTAATATCAGTTACAGAGCAAGCATAAAATGAGTCAAATAGACATTGACCCATAATTGCGACTATGGTCATGAAGTGAACCATGTAAATTTTATGCAAGGACGCTCCTTGATGTGGAAAATAAATATACAAAGTTTCTTTGATCTTTTTCAAAAAGTTTATCACTAACCTTTTTACAGCGTCATAACAAATTCAAACACGCTTCACATTACTCCCCTATTAAGCAGACATTGCAGTCATGCAGACATTGCAGTGAACAATTAGTTAATAAATCAAAATAAGCAAGGCCTTCCCACCATATCTATGTATGTTTAAAACCTTTCGTATGCAGAATGTCTTTTATCTCTTTCTATATGGATACTATGTTATACAAGCTCGTCTGGTAAAAATATGTCTATTTCGGATAATAATGTTAATAATGTTAATGTGCTAGGGGGCGTGAGGGATGTTGCACGTATTCATTATCCCTCATGTACAGACTCAAACCGAGTCTGCGATTCTCTTGTAATTTTGTTGTGATTAATGCTTCCGAGGGATTACTTTGTTTCCAGATTTTTATTACAGAATGATACATAATAGAATAAATTATAGATTGCTTTATGAAAGTGATGCATTCATTTTACAAAAAAAATATCAGTAACTTTGTATATAATTATTAAGATAATAAGTTATATAGCAGGTACAAAAGCAGAGACATAGATATTATCTAGATGTTATCTACATCGAAAGTTAAGGTATGAGCCCCCTAATGGGCACTATAAGGAACTATAAAAGTGACAATATAGCTCAGTTATATACCTTAAAAGACACAAGAATGCAAAATTTAAGTTTACCGTATGGTTTACGAGTTATGGAGATTTTTCTTAAATA